ACTTAAGAAGTGTTGAGACATTTGTCAATTTTTTGGGTTTTCACCCGCCAAGTGTTGGGTTTGATTTAAAATCCCCATAATTTTATTTCTTGCTGTAATGTTTCACTTCTTAACTCCCCAAGTTTTTATCCCCGTGAGGTTTCATACTTTTTTCCCATAGAAGTTGGTGTAATACTTACTCTCAATATTGAAGAACGTATATTGGTTTCCTCTCTTTGATGTGGTGTTGACCTCCCCAATGAAGTCAACACGAGGTCTCCTGTTGATATCTCGACGATGAGGCACTATCTCCCCTAGTGGGGTCTGTATGATATTTCCCCAATGAAGTCAGTGTGAGATCCTCAGTTGGTATGTTGACGATATGGTTTCCACTGACTTATTTGAAATCAGTATTGCAATCCCCAGTAGAAATACGGGATGTGAAACATGTGTTTTCCCCATTGAAGTTTGTGCGTTATTCCTCGGTGAAGCCTGGAGGAGGATGTTATATCCCTGTATCTGTACTGATTTGTTGCTATGATTTGATTATTTACGGATTGTGGTCTTTCCAAGTGAAGTTAAGCCATGCAATAAGATTTTGTTCCTCATTTAGTGCTTACTTTTTATGGAATTTTCATCTTGAATGTGATTTAGCTGAGTATTGACTGTACCCGAGTTGGTTTTGTCTGGTTATTCCCTGTATTATATGTATGTTTTATCAGCATATACATAAAAACACTCACACATTCATACATTCATACATACATCATACATAGTTGAATTTAGAAATCATTGCTCATTTGCACTCATTAATTTTTTGTTAGCATATTACCCTGTTTTATAGAGTTGCGTTGTTCTCTCTCCAATATAGTGTCAACCTTAAGCATAAAGTGTATATTCTTTCAATTTCCCCACTGAGTTGTCCCTCGTGGAAGATTTTTTCTTTAGCCTTCCTGTACAGCTCTTTGTTTGGATGATTTGGATTTCCCTCTTGAGTTTATTTCTCAAAGGATGTATTTTGGTCGACTATTTTACTCCAGTTTATTTCTAGTTTGAATCTTTGTTTCCCAACAATATTATTACTTTGGATTTCTGCAAGCTTCGAGCCTTGGTTTGAGAATATGCATTTATTTTGCATGAGAAGACTTTATATCCTCAATAGAAATATGTCGGCATTCCCTAGGAAGTCATATTTCTTTCCCCAGGAAGCCATATTTCATTCCCCAAGAAGCCATATTTCATTCCCCAGGAAGTCATATTTCATTCCCCAGGAAGTCATTTTTACAATCGTTCCTATAACAGCAAGTAACAGGTCTCTTTATTTGAGCAACTTGTACCTCCCCGTAAAAGTCGACGTTAATTTTTTTGCTATCTTCTCTATGAGTGGATAGTTTGCAGTTTGTTGTCAAATTACTCCAGTTGATGGCAAGTCTTTCAATATTGCAAAGACAGTTTGTTGTGAAATCTTTGCAAGTGGTAGTCTCTTTATTTAAGACAACTTATATACTACCCTTTCCAGGCAGAATGCCTTGGTTAAAGAAGAAGTTGAGACCCATTCTAGGTGAAACGCCATGATTTTGGGGAAACTTATTATCTTTTTGCTACCTTCAGCGAACGTTGGTAGTTCACCATCAGTGAACGTCGGTGTTATGTTATTTTCTATCTACCTTCAGTGAAAGTTGGTAGTTCATCGTCAATGTACGTCGATGTTATTCTCTTACTACCTTCAGTAAACGTTGGTAGTTCACCATCAGTAAACATTGGTGATTCTTATCTTTTTGCTACCTTCAGTGAACGTTGGTAGTTCACCATCAGTGAACATTGATGCTATGATATTTTCTCTTACTACCTTCAGTAAACGTTGGTAGTTCACAACCAGTGAACGTTGGTGATTTTTATCTTTTTGCTACCTTCAGTGAATGTTGGTAGTTCACCGTCGGTGAACGTCGGTGCTTTGATATTTTCTCTTACTACCTTTAGTAAACGTTGGTAGTTCACCATCAGTGAACATTGGTGATTGTTATCTTTTTGCTACCTCTAGTGAACGTTGGTAGTTCACTGTCAGTGAACGTCGGTGCTATGATATTTTCTCTCTACCTTCAGTGAAAGTTGGTAGTTCATCGTCAGTGAACGTCAATGTTATTCTCTTACTACATTCAGTGAATGTTGGTAGTTCATCTTCAGTGAACGTCGATGTTATTCTCTTACTACCTTCAATGAACATTGGTAGTTCACCATCAGTGAATGTTGGTGATTATTATCTTTTTGCTACCTTCAGTGAATGTTGGTGATTGTTATCTTTTTGCTACCTTCAGTGAATATTGGTATTTCACCGTCAGTGAACGTCGGTGCTATGTTCTTTTCTCTCTACCTTCAGTTGACGTTGGTAGTTCACCATCAGTGAACGTTGGTGTTATACTTCTCTTTCTACCTCCAATGAACAATGGTAGTGAAGAAGTGAAAAACACAAGAAGAGGGGGTTGAATTGAAACTTAAAAATAAAAAACAATAGACTCAAGATTTTTATCCTGGTTCTCTTGATCTCAAACTACTCCAGTCCACCCGCCAAGGTGGTTTTGCCTCTCTCCAACGAGGACTTAATTCACTAATAAAACAGATTACAAATCTACTTTGACAACTGCCAAAGTCTTCTTAGGTATAACCATAACCCGATTTATCTCAAGGAAAATATCTTAATCAAAGAAAAATTTATTGTGTACTATTTTTTTTCGTTACAAAAATTGTATCACTACTGTGATGTATTACACAATTTGAGTATAGAATGAATATGAATATTTGCAACCTTTTGAGATTGTATGAAGCGGTTGTTGGCAAAATCGTAAATGATTTAATCTTTGAGCTTGTTTATATAGGCGTGGAAATCTGTCCAAATCGAAACGTGATAATGGACACTTAATGCACTTTCCATCCTTATAAGATTCTTGTCTGAATGAAGCCGTTGCATATGATACTGTCTTAATTGAAAAGTAACGCTTCAGAACTTGGGAATCTTGCATGCTGCTTTACCTCAGAACTTTGATAACTCAAAGACATGAGGATTTGTTGGCGCGTTATATGTCTGTTCAGAATCAGAATATCTTTTACTTTAGAGCAGATTCTGATCATCCTTCTTCAGAACATTCTGATTATTTAGCTTGAAAGCTTATGTGGCTTAACTTCCGATGTCATTTCAGTCAGAACTTCTGTACAACATACAACACAAATTTAGAGTGCATATTTGTTCTTTGTGTTTGTTATCATCAAAACTCTTATAAGGGTTGTAGAATCAAACTATGTTCTAACAATCTCCCCCTTTTTAATGATGACAAAAACTAGTATTTTCAATAAAAAATTTACAGAACAAAGAGCTTAAGAGAGTCTCCCCCTGAGTTGAGTACTTAGATAGAGATGAATTACTTCCCTGAAGTTCCTTCTCATTAGAGCTTTTGATGCATCTCCTTCTGTCTTTATCAGAATATATTCCTGTTCATGCTTTCAGAAAAAATAGAGGTTAAGATATTCAGAATGTTTGAGACTTTCTCTCGGTATACTGTTATTGAAAATATCTTACGTTCTCCCCCTTTTTGTTAGGTATTAAAAAGCAATATAATCAGAGTCAAAAAGATGATGATTTGTATTGAAAATAGACTACAATGACATTTTCCAGAAACAAAGAGGATAAGATGAAGAATATAGAATATAAGTTAAAGAAAAACTAAGATGGAGGGGGAAGTCGTGTGAACAATGCTTTCAGCAAGCTCTTAATCTGAGTGCTTGATTCTTCATGCTTTCCCAGAATATCCTTGATTTCTTTTGTAGTATCTTATTTCTTGTCCAATATATCTGTTATCTCTTTGTTTGTGTCTTCTTGCTTATCCAACCTTGCGTGGATTAAAGCATTCTCCTTCTTCAACTCTTCCAGAGTTTGCATGACTAGAGACGTAGCTGGTGTATCCTCAGGGGTTGCATGTCGTTCAGAGAACTCTACCGCCTCTTCTGATTCAACTACTTCTTCTGTTGCAATTTCCTTTTCTGGAGCAGTAGTTAGAGGGTGACTATCAGAACCTGGTTTAGTGGGTTCTGAAGGTTGGTGCTCTTTCCAGGGAGCATTTTCCAGCAGAAGAATTTCTTTCTTATCCCAGTGACTTAGAACTTGGTCTTTGAAGGCATTCAGCTGATCACTAATTCAGCTGAGCCATCTTATATCTCAATTCTTTCAGCCTCTGGGATTCAGAGTTGAACCATTTTCGTAATCTATCCTAAAGAGAGTCAGAAGCAGTAGGATTAGAAATCTCTTAAATTTATTTCTTTAAAGAAGTAACCCATTCCTGTATTTCTGAGCAAGCACGTATCAGATGTTACAGCTCAGTATATTTCAAATTGCCCTAACAAGCTTCATAACAAAATTTGAGATGAGAAATGAGATTCAATCTCAATCATTCATTTGTTATAACAGATTTTTAAAATCAAAGGAGGAGATGTTTTTACCTTTAGCAAACTTCTCAGACAAGCTAGGCCAAGTGATATATAACATATTTCACCTTCAGATCCAAGGGGAGGAGAGGAAGAAAAACACGATTGATTTCTGTAAAAAAAAAACTTTTGTGAAGCAGCAAAAGTCCTATGTAATTTCTTGCCCAATCTTGATCTCAGAAAGCTTCCTCTGCGGAATTCCTTAGCAGTTTCTCAGCGTCTCTAATCTTCATCTTACAACAGCATCAATATTCATCAATCATCATCATTACTTCAATATCATCTTCATCTTCCTCGCATACTCATTCATACAACAACACCTCTGCTTCAGCATATTCATCACAGTTTCCCAAGTATAACAACAAAGAATGCGTGAGAAGTAATCGAAACGGAATCAGAAAAGAAAAGAAAATGAATTCAAAATACACATACCTGAGTCACTGTTCTCCAGTTTATTGTTTGTTTTCATCAAGCTTGAAGAGCCACCTGAGTTCTTCGATAGGTAAGCCTTACATTACTTATTGTTTCTGCATCCTTGTATGCTAAGATCAGTAGCATATAGTGTTATTGTTTCCTTCCATTTCGGATTTCATCATGAACGAACCGAGAACGTGTTGGTTGTTGAATGCGATGGTTGGAAGTAGCATGTGAACGAGAGAAGGAGGTGAAGCTGATAAAGTAGAAAATGAACTGTGATGCTGAGCGAAGGCGAGGTCGAAGAGCTTTGAGCGAGCATGATTTGAGTTGAGCAAATCAGAGATGAGCATTGGAAGAAGAGAAACGACACGAAGATGCTGTGAATGGCGAGCAGACAAAGAGGCAATGGTGATTTTTGAGATTGCGTCAAATCGGTTGGTCGAAGCAAGCGATGAAGTTTGGTTTGAATCAGTGGATGAAAGCATGAGACGGTGGATGAACAAAGTTCGTTGATGCATCCTGGGATGTTGTTCATAGCACAGTGTTGTTGCAGTGAGTTCGTCGGAATTCGAAGCGAGAACGAATATGAAGAAGTCGCGAAGGCAGCCACGGCGCTGCAATTTTGAGTAAAGGGAAGAAGTTGATTCGACACAAATTCCCAACCCTAGCCCTCTTCTCTTAAACGACATTTTTTTAAAATTTGTTTTACTAAAAATAACTTTGAAATAAAAAATAATACTGAATTTTGGAAAATTGATTTGGTGTAAGTTTATGATTGTCTTTGGGCCGAAATGAAGAATTCGTTGGTCCTGCCTCATACCTTTTATTTTCTTCTGCCCATTACCATTGCTTTTGGAGCCTAAAGATATTGGGGAAAAATAACCATCCTGGATCCAGACTTGGGCCTAGCGCCTGAGATTCTACACCATACCCCAAGGTTCCAATTTCGCACCTTCCTCTATTTTTCTTTATTCTAATCTCTCTCTTCCATTTTAATTGTCTTAGTTTTAATTTCTTTTATCGATTCTAGGTATTAAAATAATAATAGTAAATAATAAAAAGATATATAAGAAAATGTTTTAGGTTTTTTTAGAGGTATTTTAGGATTTAATTATGTGCTATTATTTCTTCATGTTCTTAATTTCTTTCTTTAAATCAAGTTTAAACATCATGTTTTATATGTTTTCTTTGTGTGAAATTTATAAGATGCTTAGGTATTGAGAATAATTTTGTCTTAATTCCACGATCCTTTAGGATTCCATGAGACGTTTAATCTCCCTTTTGATCGTTTTATGTTGATTAGACCTTAGGATTTCGATACAAGCATGATAACATCAGGATAGTCCCTTCATCTCTTCTCATCTTCTTTAAAAATATCCTCCCTCCTTTTGAAAACTCTTCTTGTTTTTTTTAAACTTGAAACTCTTTCATAATAAACTTGGGCTTAGGTCCATGCATTTTCAAAACATTTTCATGAATAAATTTCAATCAACTTAATAATACCTTGACATTTTTTGTGAGAAGACTAAAAGTCGATCAATCACATTTCAAACCATTTTTCCACTTTGGCTTTCACTTTAAAAAAAAATTCTCAAAAGATTAGACTCTTGTCAATCCTTGTAGTGATGCAACCAACTATACTTCTACAATATGTAGTGAGGAGAGATATTTTCCATTTGTGTGTTGAGTGAGGCATTGTTGATTTTAAAATCCAAGCCATATCCTCCACTTTGAGATGATGCAAATACTCATTTCTCATGATTGTGGGTAGTAAGTATGTTTTCCAAACGGACAATGACGATGATGTCTTATCTCATAAATCTAACCAACACACTTGTGTTTTAAATTTTTTAAAAGAAGAACTAAGAGTGTTCTGATTCCTCCTGGGATACGTAGGCACTGGATTGAAGATTCGGGCGAATTCAATAATAAAAAACTTTCTTTTTTCCAAAATTGATTCATTCATGCAAATAACTCTTTTTAATAGCCAACATACACAAATTTACAAAGAGGTTCCTGCGGAGTACCATAGATGTTTAGGGTGCTAATATCCTCCCTTTGGATAACCAACCCCCCTTACCTTGAATCTTTCCCCCTCTTTTGGGTTACTCGCTCTTTTCCCATTCCTTTGGAAACAATAAAGCACGGTGGCGATTTTTATTTTGATTTGTATAAGTCTAGTCAATCCAATGGCTTAGTCTTAAACATTTCTACCGCTACACTAACAATATGAACTACACGTCAATCGGATACCCAAAACTCAAGTTATCAATTTTTGAAGTTTTACAAGATTTACCAACACCAACAAACTAAAACAACAGACACTGACACCACAAAACATCTTTATACATCAATAAATTTAGTTCCAAAACTTGAAACCATTTTTACAAGAAAGTATATTGTATTAGATTTCCAACGGCACCCAAAACGGACTCATAGTTTGAAAGTTATGAACTTTTGAAAATTTCATTTTTTTCAATTTACTCTCGGGGTAAGCGATTACCCAATATGTGGTACTCGGGTACACCCAGTCAAAATGCTCAGAAATGCTATTTTTCCACACGGTAACCGGTTAACCATATAGTGTAACTGATTCCCACTCTACTAGATTAAAAAAAACATATTTTTGTTTTACAAAAATCATCCTTTTCCTACCCAAAACTCCAATTTATCTACATCAAAATACATAATCTAATTTATCACATTGTCATACTACATCTACTACATTCTAACTCAATTCGCATCATCAATTTCATCAATTATGCACAATTTTAAGGTATAAATCAAAAGCAATCTACACCAAAACCTTACATTCAATATAATCATCTACCCACAATTATACCACTTATTAGAGAGTTGGAACCCCACCCTTACCTTAGGTTATAGATTCCTCAAGCTTCAACAATGGTTCCTCTCTTCTTAGCTCTTCCTCATTCTCGCTTCTGCTTTTCTCTCGTTTCTACGATCAATAAAAATAAGAATGCTCTTCTATTCCTCTTGTTTTTACATATCTAGCCTTTGGACCCCTAAATCACAAATCCAAACCTTATCCTCACTTGTTCAACACCATGTTAACATCTTGTCCTTCTTGTCTTACACTATTATTCTCCTCATACTATTATATATAATAATTCTAAATATTATTATTAAATCAAATTTAACCTCAAATAATTATTTAAGCTCTAAATAATTATAAACTAATTAAATCCTCATATTACTCTCATTCCCACACTACTCATAACACTTCATTCACCAACGCATCACCATGCATCACATAACTCACCATAATTCATATATTCACCAATAATCACCAATATTCAAACTAAATTAATTAAATAATTTATCTAGATTTTTGGGGTCTACAAAGAGAACACCATCCTCAACAACAAACTATCTCCCATAACTAAGAGACCACAATCCTTCAGAGTGAAACACATCTCAACAATGAACCATCTCCCATAACAAAGAGACTACCATCCATCAAAGTAAATTAAATCTCAACAACAAACTATCTCCCATAAAGAAGAGACTATCATCCATCAGAGTATATTAAATCTCAACATCGAACTATCTCCCATAAAAAATAGACCACCATCCATCAAAGCACATCAAAATAATCTTCTTTGGGAACTAACATACTTACTGAGGAAGTACAGGTTGCTCAAATAAAGAGATTGTTACTTTCTTCTTTGGCAATAATGTTGTTGGGAAATGAATTTTGACTTCCTAGGGAAATACCATTACATTCTTGCAGAGGAGATAAAGTCCTTATGTGAAAAAAACACATTCTCAATCTAAATTTCACAGTCTAGAGAGATCAATAACATTGCTTTCATGGACCAAAGTTCAAGCCAGGAATAAACCGGAGTGAAACAGTCAACCAAGACACCACCCAGTGAGGAATAAACTCAGACGGGGATTAATTCCATCCAGGTAATGAGTTGGGTAGAAAGGCTAAAGAAAAATTCTCCCGGGAGTGATAACTTAGTGAGGAACGTGAAAGGATACACACTTTATGCTTAAGGTTAACATTCTATTGGAGAGAGGATACACACTCGACAAAGAGGATAAAATATTAACATAAACATGAATGAATGCAAATAAGCAATGAATTTTAATTCAGCTATGCATGATGTATGTATGAATGGATAAATGTTGTTATGTATATGCTGACAAAACAAACATACTACACTGGGAATCAACAGACACAATAAATTTTGGTGAAGACAACACTTGGCTAAATTGCATTCAAGATGGAAATCCATAGGAGAGTAAACAGCCAACTGTGGAAACAACGTCCTATTCCAAGGTTTTACTTCTTTGGGAAGAAAATAAGTCTTGAAACAAACAAAGCACATTCTAATAGCAATAAACCACTAAGCTACTGGGACATAATAAACTTCTCCAGGCTTCACCAGGGAACCACATATAGACTTTGTTAGAGAAGATGATACCACATCTATTTGGACGAGCATAAACAGTCTTCAATACTTAAGACTAATGACTGCACAAACCTTTGTGAAAGATCATAGAAAATTATAGAGACATTCAAATTTAAATAGGAAACATCATCCTTGATTTATATGGGGAAATAAAGAAGTTATTATCACAGCAAAAGGTCATAATTATGGGGATTTTAAATCAAAATCAACACATGGTGAGCGCAAGAACACAAAATATTAACAGTTGTCTCAATATTACTCAGGGAATATACTGCCCTTGTTTGGCTACTTGGAGAGAACACTGTAGCGGTAGAAATGTTGAGACTAAGTCATTGGATTGACTTAACTCGTACAGATCAAATAAAAATCTGCACCACGCTTTATTGTTTCCAAAGGAAATGGGAAAAGAGCGAATCAATCCAAAAAAGAGGGGAGAATCTAGGTACGGGGGTTGTTTATGTAAAGGAAATGTATTAGCACCCTAAACATCTACCGTACTCCACAGGAACCTCTTTGAAAATCTGTGTATTTTGGCTAAAAATTGTTTATACAAAATAAGATGGTGGAGATGAGGAATGAAGTCGATTTTACCATTTTTCCCCTGCCGCGGTTGTGAATCTTTAATGCATACGTACCACCTTCTGTGCAATAGGGGATCAGGGTACTCGTAGTTCACCTGAAAATTTTTAAAATACATGTGTGTTGGTTAATTTTAAAAGAAGAGACATCATCATATCCGAGTGGAAAACATACTTACTACCCACAATTATAAGAAAGGAGAATTTGCATCATCTCAAAGTGGAGGATATAACTTGGAGATTAAAATCAACAAAGCCTCACTAAACACCCAAGTGTAAAATATCCCACTTCACTATATATCGTAGAAGTATAGTAGCTTGCGTCACTACAAGAATTTTCAAGAGTCTAATCTTTTGAGAAAACTTTTAAAGCAAAAAGCCAAAGTGGAAAAATGGTTTGAATGAGGTTAATGACTTTTGATCTTGAGAAAAAATTCTAAAGGATGATAAAATTGATTAATGTTTGATTAAGAAAATATTTTTGAAAATGCATGGACCTAAGTTCAAGTTTACTATGAAAGCGATTCAAGTTAGAAACCAAGAAGAGTTTTGAAAAGGAGGGAGAAGATTTTTGAAATTAAAGAAGATAGGAGGAGATGAAGGGACTATCCTAAAGCATAATGTAATAGGTAAGGAAAAGAACGACCTAACCAACAAGAAGCCAACACT